TATACTCTTTGAATGAAGGGGAAAATAAACAAGTGTATGAATGGATGTTCATACAAATAAACAAATATGTCTAGGTGAGTACTATTGAGAATTATCAAAGACAGTCTTGAAAATAAATGTATGATAGTAACACGTACAGAAGGCCTGACCTTCTAGGACCCTGCACACTTGAACCTTGGATCCCCTCTGCTGTCTGCCTTGAATAAAGACAATTGATGGGCTGTGTTTCTGTAACTACACGGTTATTATCTTAGCCTTGGTCTAGTGGGATTAGAAAAGAACAGAAGGGATTTAGGCTTTCCCTTAAACAAAGGAAAAATAGACTGACAGCAGATGAATAGAGAAAGACATGTCTACACATACATTGAAATTGAGGGACTGGTAAGGAGCTTGCGTATAGTCATGGTCTCAGGCAGCTCTGGATGAGTTATAGGAAGGAGAGTTGGGGCTTTATAATCAGCGCTGGCTGCCATACATTGAGCTAGTGACTTTGCTACTATCATTTGGTCTTTTTGTTCTAAATGACAGAGATTCTTTCAGCATGTAAGAGGGGTGGTGTTACAGGTGAATGGCTACCAAGGAATGTCCTGATCACACTGATGGTAGTGACAGAAGTCGCTGATCCTTTGCCTCACCTTTTTAATGCCTGAGCAATTCTGATATCTTGTTACCCCTGGCCACAAGGCCATGTTAAGAATATGAGTAGTGGAGTTTGTTGCTCATTTATACTAGATGGCATACTCAGAGTCACCCTAGGATTCGAAAAACCTACAGCTTTCATTCTGATTTTTGGTATGCCTACATACATGTGGTGTTCAACTCCGCCCATAGAAAATTTTATGCCAGCGGGCAGTATTATAAAATGCCTCTGACAATAATTTTAGTATGTACCACCTATTTCTAGTTTTTTCTCATTTGTTTTCCTTCTGTTTATATAGAGTTGTAATCCCCAACAAGCAGCACTGGCCTCCCACATTATTTATTGTTTCAATATAGGGGACAATTACATATAATTAGCTGGATGACACTACACATTTGCTGGTGGAATTTGCTATGAATGCATTTGCTCCTTCAGGGAGTTGCTTTCTATTTCCTGCACCACTGCTCTGAGGCTGTTTAGAGGGACTTACCTTTTTTTTTTTTCTCTCCTTATTTATTGCTTCATTGATTGGAGGCAGGAAGAAAGCATATGAAAATCAGTATGCAACAGCCTGTAAATAATTATCACAGGAGGCAGTGAAATAATTGCATACCAAGAAGAAAACACCCAAATAGGCACAAGGTAAGCTTTCAACAGTATGTTCATTTGTGGGTGAAGAAATCCAGGAAAATGTGTCGGTACCTCATGATATTTTATGAAAACTATCACTTGATGCCATAGAAGGTGCAATTTGTGTAGTATTTTATGTTTCCATCAGGATGTGTTCCACATCATTAATTTTTTTAGATGACTGAAGGTCACTACTTTGTTATGAAATCTTAAAATAATTAGCATTTTCTAAATTCTATTTGTCTTTGTCCCATTTTTTAAAACAGAAATTAGAGAACATATTTGAATCTACCATGAAATTCTCCAAAACATGGCCTAAGTCAAGCTATGCTTAAAGGGCCTATTTTTGGTCTCATTGGATCTTGAGGAATTTGAGATATCCAGTATCCAGTATTCCTGAAGCCCTGCCCATGGGCAGCCTATGTGTACATAGGAAGCTCTCTAAAACGTTGAGTAGAGAATGCCTTAAAGATCTACTGCTGTGGTTCCTAACCCTCAGACTGTGGCCCAAGGACTGGTCTGTGGCCTGTTGGGAGCCAGCCATGCATTACCACCTGATCCCTGCCCCTCCTCCCGCTCAGTCCCCCTGTCCCCATCCATGGAAAAATTGTCTTCCATGAACAAGTCCCTGGTAACAAAAAGGTTGGGGATCACTGATCTGCTGTTTAAACCAGTGGTCTGCTTTAAGGCATAGCTGCCTACTTCCCGTTCTGCATGTGCAAGCATGCAATCTCAGTTTTGTTGAGGTCTCCTCAATGCTTATCTGGATCCTTTACTTGACTTCCTTCCATCCCAAATTTCTACCTCCTTGGCTTCCCTTATTCATAACTCCTATAGACTGCAATCGTTTATCCTTGGGCTCCTGGGCTGACTTCCTGACTTAGACCTAGTAATCTCACTTTGACTTCTCTATGGATTGAGTCACTAGTATATTTTAGAAGACAGTATCCCACGTTTATAATTAGATATAACAGTTTACCATGCATTCCATTTTTAACACTGACAACCAGACTATTTTGAAAAGATTACAAGGTATTCCTTCCTAATTCAATCTTCTTTCCTTCTTTAGGGCATCAAATGCTATTGAACACTCCCATTCTTAAGATTATAAAATATGATGTATGGATGACTTAGAAAGAGTCATAGAAATTATATAATTAAGTGCTCACATTTTACCCATAGAAAAATGGAACCCAGAGAAGCAAAGGGGTGGGCCCAAAGACACATCTATCTACAGGGAGTAGAACCCAAACTTCCTAATTCAGGATGATGGTCTTTCCAGAATTTGCCATGTTGCAAGCATCTGTCTCCTATAATAATTTCTGGGACATGATATTTCTCTGCTTTTATAGACCTCTTCTCTGCTTTTATAGACCTCTTCTCTGCTTTGTGACTTCTATTCTGGAGTCTACTACCTTAGCCATGGTTACCCTCTAAAGCTTAAACTACAGGATAATTATATACTCAGTCATTATTAATATATACTCACATCTCTGAGACCCACAAGAAAGAGTGTCCATTATGCAGGTTTTTGTATTAAAAATCCTAAATGTGGTTTTTCAGATTTACCTACTTTGTTGATCTCCTTTCCTGAATTAACCACTAGGACTTCTTTATTCAAATGTCCACACAATTTAAACACAAACTGCTTATAGCAGAACTCATTTTTTCAACATAAACTGAATTTCCCAATATTTGTCATTGGAATCTATGTTTTCCAAGTTCCTATTAATACATATAGTACAAGCTTAGTAATTATCTACTGATAGTGATGGGAATATTGTTTTCATCTGAACTTCTATTGTAGCTATATAAGTGATTCTAGAGGAAGTAAAAACAATAATAAATTAATTATTTGTGACTCTTCTGCTGCTTAGAATTTATTCCTATTATGGCAGATTAATATTTCCTCTGTATATTAGTCTATCTACTGTATAGACAAATGACAGACTAAATTCCACCAAGCGTTCCACTGGCATTGGTCAATTTCTAAAATGCTAGTAGGTTAGACATACTTTCTAAAGGCATCAACAAACATCTTCTACTAATTAGTCTCCCCATATTTTTCTAACATGGACAAGAAACTACAAAACTGCTCAACATGTATTTGATGACCCTCTTACACTACAGAATAAAAGAGACCAGTGCACATTCCAGCTTTGCCCTTTTGCTAGTGTGTCACTTCAAAAATTTACTTACTGTCACTGTGACTTTCCTTATTTATAAAATGTGGACAATTATAGTACCTGATTTATTGTGGGAATCAGTTGAGGAGATGCACATAAAACCTTTAGCACAATTATTGTTTGCAGGATAAAAAATGGCAGCTTTTTATTTGCTTTAATATTATGAAACTTGTAAGATTCAAAACAGAGTCACTTGCGTCAAACCCTGGCAGATAGAGGTAGGGAAGGCCATGAAGGAAAGGCTCTCAGGCATGATTTGCCTGATAACAGGAACTATCACAAGAAATTTTTCCAAACTGCAGCTTAATACGTGAGTTACACAAGGGCAGCTAGCAGCACAAGGACAGCTGGCTGCTTATATACAAGAACGCTTGCCTATTTCAAAAGCTCTCTCACAAACCCCATCCAGAACAAGGGCCTAAACATAACTCCAAGATTACAAATCCTACCCAACAACTGCTGACACTTGCCCATCAGAACTAGCCAGCTCTTGTAAGATGCTGCCAGTGCAATAAGCTTTCTTTCAAAACAACTTGTTTAACCTCCTCTTTCCCCAATAAACCCTAATCTTTCCTTTGTTCTCATGACATACTGGAGGCCACTCTGGTCTATTCGTATCTCTCAAATTGCAATTCTATTTCTTGTATGTTATTCTCAAACAAAGCCCCTTTACTTAGAGATTCATCTCTATATTTTTTACATTGACAGTATTACACTTCTCTGAGTAACATGATACTTCACAAATAATAAGGCTTTGATTCAATTTGATGTCATAAAATACAAAAGAGTATGCAAAGCACTATGGAGTGGAAATACAAAAAAGAAAGAATGGCATAGATCTTATCTTTAAGGGATCTAAAAGCAAAAACATTTTTTATTTCCCTGATACTTTCCTTTTCGAATGGGCCCCAGAAGTACTTGGTGTTTCTTGTTTAGGTTTCATCCTCTCACTAGGACAATATTATTTTTCATCATTATATCCTTATCCTTCACATTTCTCTGTCTATTCACGGCCACTTGGCACCATCACAACAAGATCACTTCTCATAGGCAGTGTTTAATTTCATTTTATTTTATGATCTCAGTCTGTATACCTTTCCCTTGTCCAGAAGTTTCACCCTTATGCCTGTCAAGGGGGTGCAGAAAGGCATATGGATGGCACAGGGTAAGACTTCACTGCTAATGACAGCACAGCTCCAATCTGTGCACTCTCAACAGTCAGCTCACACAGTCCTTTAGTGCTGGTTATTAAGGACAGCTCTTTACCTGCGGCCAGGGCAGAGCAATATATTCAATAATGCATTCCCTGTGCCCCTGAATATCAGTCTGAAAACAGAAAGAAGTTAAACACTTTGTTCAATCATTTATTAAAATGAAAGTAGCACCCTGGGGATACAGGAACATGGGAAGCCATTGCCAGGTTCGATTTATTTTTAGCTGCCGTCAATTGTACATGAAAAAGACCCTAGTGTGCAGTCCTGTCCCGCTGACATTTCCACGAGGTAATTTACCTTTTGCTCCACTCGCTCCGGAAAACCCTCCAGTTATTTTGCGAGATAAACAATAGGTGCCTTTGCTTCAGTGAACTTTTGCTTCAGCTTAATGACCTGTTCCGACTCGATGCAGTCTCCTAGCTCCTGTAAAAGAAGAGAATGTTATTACTAACACCCCTTTGCTTAGCAATGGCTTCTTAATGCTCAGTTTATTTTAGCTTTGGGGAAATTCTATGCATTTGCGTCTCAAATTTTTCCCCCCTCAGTGGATCACTGACACGTACATCTGAAAGGTTTTGGTAGAAGCCAGTCTATCCTTGTGGACAAATGCAGTGGGTACAAAGTAGTGTAGTCTACATTTCAATTGCAGCTCCGCCATCTGCTAGATTTATGATCATGAACTAGCGACTTATCTAAGACTGTTTCTGTACCTAAAGACGAGGAAAATAATTATATTCACTCTCTATGACTGGAATAGGAGAAATTAAATGAGATAATCCAAGAAACAGAGTTGTTATAGTACTAATGCATAGTAAATACTCACTATTTGCTATTTTCAAGATACTGATAATAAGTTTTAGTGATTTTCATTATTATTATGAACAGTACAGCGCTCTGCTTTAGGGATTCTATCAGAATAAAGGCCGGCAACCTCATTTCCTTCTACAAAACCACAAAGCCTTTTCTGTCTGAAACCGAATGGGTAAAGAACTAGAATTTTGTCTGGTGTGCATGTGTGATTACGTAGTTTGCACTTAATTTTGTCACCTAAGTATAACATACATCTAGAAAATCAAACAAATCACCAGTATACAGCTCAAAGAATGATCAGAAAGCAAACATATCCATATAACCACCACCTTTGTCAAGGACTAGAAAGTTATCAATAACTAAGAGCCCTTTCATTTCACTAAGTAATCATGAACCCTCTATCTTCCCTAAAGCTCATCGCTATCCTAACTTCTATCACCCTGCATTGTATTTGCCTGGATTTGAGCTGTGTATAGACTGAGATTCCATATTATACAACATACATTATATTGTTTTCAGCTATTTTTACTCACATTATAATTGTGAGATTCATCTATGGTGTTATGTGAGGGAGTAGGTTAATTTTGTTGCTGTACTGTATTCCTTTGTATCATTTATTCATTCTAATGCTCACGGACATTTGAGCTCTTACCAGGTTTTCGCACTTTTACATAATGTCTTATGAACATTGTTGTATCTGCTTTTTGGTAAACATGTGCTCCTATATCGGTCAAGTATATGACTAAGAATAATATAAGGCTATATGTTCAACCTCAGTAAATACTGACAAACTCTTCCAAAGTGGTAGTACCAATTTCCTGTTCATTAGCAATATATGGAAGTCTCTTTTGCTCCACATGATGGTCCACAATCTGAGTCACAGTTGTTTTTCTTTCAACCATTCTAGTGGCTGTGTAAGGATATTTTATTTCTGGTTTTAATGTGCATTCTTTTGATAATTAAGTTAAACATCTTTCGGTATGTTTATTGACTATTTGAGTATCTTATTTTTTAATTTTATGCTTGAGTGCTTTGCCCTTATTGCACTATTCATTTTTTCTTTTGTTTTTTATACATCCTTGGTACAAGCTCTAATTTTAAGTGCTGCATATTATCTTTTACCACTCTGAGGCTTGCCTACTCACTATATTAATAGTACCATTTGATGTATGGAAGTTCTTAATTTTAACATAATCATATTTATCAATATTTCCAATTATGTTAGCTTTCTGGGATCTGTTTAAAAATTACTCACCACCCCAAGGCTATAAAGATATTCTCTTTTTATCTCCTAGAACTTTTATTGTTTTATTTTTTCATGTTTAAGTCTATGATTCACAGGAATTGATTTTTGTGTCTGTTGCGAGGGAGGGGTAAAATGTAATCTTTTCCCCCATATGGATATCCAATTAACCAGCACCATACACAATTTATGGCAAAAACAGTCCTTTCCCCCATTGCTCAGTTGTGCTATTTTTGCATATATCAATTGTCTGCATATGGAGGAACTATTTCTTGATATATGTGTATCCTTATGTCAATACCACAATGTTTTAATTATTCATCTTACAAGTTTTGCTATCCAGTAGAATGAGTCCTAACATATTGTTCTTCTAAAAGATTGTCTTGGCCCTTTTTACTCCTCTGCATTTCCATATAAAGATGTTTAACTTTATACATTACAGAAACTTAAAGCATATGTAAAAGTAGACAACTAGTATAATGATCATGCATGTGCCCATCAACCTCTTTCAGCACTTATGAGCTCATAGCCATTCTTGTTCCATTTACATCCCCATCTGTTCTCCCCATCATCAGATTATTCAGAAATGAATTCCCTACATCATATAGTTTCATCTGAAAATATGTCCATATGTAGCTATAAAAGAAAATAAATCTTTTTACATATACCTACAAGAATATGTTAACCTAAAATTTTCCCTGACATCAAATGTTTAGTCAATGTACAAATTTATCTAATTTTATCACTTTTTTAAACATTGGTTTTATGGTATGTTTCAGTCAGGACCTAGTGATGTTGAGATATTATAATCAGTTGATGAATCTCTTAAGTTACTTTTAAATGACTGGTTTCTCTAACTAAGATAATCTTGTCTAATATTTTAATAATTATTTAGAAATAATTTTAGACTTATAAGAAAGTTAAGTAACATAAAAATTTCTGTATATTGTTTTTATCATTTAAAATTTTATTTCATCTTTGTTAAAAACACTTTTAAACAGATTAATTTTCATTATATATTTTCTTTTTAAGTTTTATTTCATTTTTAATCAACATATAATAAGTGTGCATATGTATGCAGTACCATGTGATATTCTGATACATTTATACATTGTGTAATGATCAAATTGGGGTAATTAGCAAATCCATCACCTCAAACATTAATCATTTTGTTTGTGCGTGTGGTGAGAATATTCCAAACTCTCTCTTTTAGCTATTTTGAAATATATAATACATTATTTTTAACTATGGTCACCCTACTGTGCAATGGGACATGAGAGCTTATTCCTCCTTTCTAATCATAACTTTGTACATGTTGACCAACCTCTCCCTGTTCTCCCCTTCCAATACTCTCCCCAACCTTTGGTACTAATATTCTACTCTTTACTTCTACGAGATCAATTTTTTTAGATTCTGCATATGAGTGAGATCACTGTCTTTCTGTAGCTGTAGATGCATGTATTTATTCCTGGGCTTTCTATTCTGTTCCACTGTTGTATGTATCTGTTTTTATGCCAGTACCATGCTGTTTTGGTTATGATAGTTTTGCAGAATGTTTTGAACTCAGGCAGTGTGATGACTCTAGCTTTATTCCTTTTGTTAAGGATTGCTTTGGCTATTTGAGAGCTTTTGTGATTCTATATGAATTTTAGGTTTGTTATTTCCATCTTTATGAAGAACATCATTGTTATATTAATGAGCATTGCATTGACTCTGTAGATTGCTTTGGGTAATAGAAACATTTTAACAATATTAATTCTTGTAATCCATGAACACTGCAGATCTTTTCATTTATTTGTATCTTCTTCAATTTTCTTTCACAAGTGTTTTATAGTTTCCAGCATAGAAATATTTCATCACCTTAAGTTTTTTTCCTGGGTATTTTGTTATTTTTTGTATCTCTTGGAAATGGGATTGTTTTCTTGATTTCTTTTTCAGGTAATTCACTATTAGTATGTAGAAACACACTGATTTTTGTATGTTGAGTTTGTATCTTGCAAATATACTGAATTTATTAGTTTTAATAGTTTTCTGGTGGAGTCTTTAGGGTTCTCTCTACGTAAGATCATGTTATCTGTAAACAGGAACAATTTGACTTTTTCTGTTCCAATTTGGATGCCTTTTATTTCTTGTTCTTGCCTAATTGCTCTGGCAAGAACTTTCAGTATTATGTTGACTAGAAGTAGTGAAAGTAGGCATTATCAATCCTGTTGGATCTTAGAGGAAACGCTTTTAACTTTCCCTGTCCTATATACTTTTCACACAGATTCCTCAAATGTAAACATTTACTACATTAGCTTCATAATTTTTTCATTCTCTTTGGCTTTCTCTCTCTTCTCTTGTTTATACTTTTTTCCTGAAACTTGTGCAAAAGTTTGCAGTAAGTTGTGGAAATAATTCCCCTTTACTTCAAAATATGTCATTGTTGTTTTTTTTTTTATATAAAACATGGAACAATGATCACATTCAGGGAATTCTCATTAGTTATCTAATTGACAGACCTTATATAAGTTTTACCAAATGCTTCACAAATATTCTATCTGCTCCAACATTCAATCCAGGATGATACATTGCATTTCATTGCCATGTCTCCTTAGTCTCTTTTAATCTGAAACAATGCCTGTACTTTCTTTGCCTTCATAATATCCATGCTTTTGAAGAGAACTGAACAGCATGGAGAATTATGAAAGATCTGTGATTTTATCTAACTTCTCACAGTTTTATTGATGCACACAGAAGACATGGAGTTCTGGATCATATACAAAGGCCTGTATTGCTCACATCACAGAAAACAGTATGAATTTCATGTTTGTGTCAGTTTCCTGTGTCCCAAGACTCATAGGACAACACAAAGGGGCACTGGTAAATGCTGATCAACAGAGAGTTTGTATATCAGTGGAGGAAACTGAACTTAGTAAACACAAATCTTTTTAAATGGACTGAAAGCAACCTATTCTTTGTAAAGGTAGACACATTTTTGTCATATTGGACTGAAAACAGATCTTTCCCCTTAATTTTGATTGAGCCACTATATCTTCCAGGTCTCTTTGCTATACAAACATCTTTGAAAAGATAATCCACAACAAAAGGGTAGTTAGTGCCTCATCTGAAAAATTTGCAGACTTTAAGAGACAAATGGAGATTCTTCTCCCAAAACTAACCACCTCTTATTTCTTGACCATTTTTGCTCTTAGCAAACCTTCCTATGTGTATACCACTCTGTCAGCCTCTCTAATTAATCTGACCAATAGAGGTTGGGAACGAAGCCATTCAATTTGTCTTATACAGTGATTAATGAAGTCCACCATCAACCGGGCCCCAAGGAGCAGATGAGGCCAATCTTCAGGATTGAACTCTAGCACGCCACCCA